TGCGATTGATATGGCTAAAGCTATACGCATATTGAATTTCATGCAGTTCGGTTCATAACTAACGGAGATGTCAAAGGCCTACATTTTCAATTCACGAACTCCCATATACAAATTTGATAAAGAATCCACCTGTAAAATTTCATCCTAATCGGCCCATTCGTATACGAGATATCGTGCTAATGATGGACGGACGGACAAACGCCGCAAAATTATAAACTCGCTAGGAGCTCGTTAATAACGGGCAGACTTCGTAGAACCAATGTAGGTTACTAATGCACCTTGCCACAATGCAATCAGTTTTAAAAGTACTGAAGCGAAGTACAGGTGCAGACATGGTTAATAGCGGTTATAAATTCAATGTATCGTCAAAAAAAACTACACAAAAAATCCATCGCACCATGGCAAGCTGATTTCGGAAAATGAAGTCTTGAACATTCTGGGAGGACAGCAGAAAATTGTTTCATAAAACGCCCTAACCGAATACCGTTAGATTTATTTTTTTAGTTTTTTTGGTTCATAGTGCTTCAACTCAAAAATGCATTCCCTCAAATAGTTAGCGGAATTGTGCACAATTCTTTTTTTTTTGTTTTAATAATAATAATAATGTTTATTCCCACATAAACAACCAACAATAGGAAAGCAAAAAATAATGAAAATAAGAATAAACCCATAAACAGCGTTTAAAAAAGCGCTAGAGCACTTCGGTGTGACCCCACGGAGTCATTGGATTTGACCCATTTTCAATTAGCTTGTTACATGTGGTATATATGTTAACTGTGCAAAGTTTGAACCGAATAGGTTCAAGCGTTTGCCAGACGCAGAGAGGCGTGACCCTACGGGGTCATTGGATTTGACCTATTTTCAATAGACTTGTTACATATGGCGTAAAGGTCAACTGTGCAAAGTTTGAACTAAATAGGTTCAAGCGTTTGGCAGAGACAGATAGACGTGACCCCAAGGGGTCATTGGATTTGACCCATTTTCAATAGGCTTATTACTTGTAGCATATAGGTCAACTGTGCAAAGTTTGAACCAAATCGGTCCAAGCGTTTGACAGTTATCGTGTTCACGGACACACGGACACCATCGACTCCCCTATAAAGCTTGCATCGCTTTGCCCTGCCGCTTAATAAAAATTAAACAGATATAGCAAACGAGCTCCTGGCCATGGCTTGGCTTGGTTACGTATTATATGCTCATTTTGAATTTCATGCAATTCGGTTCCTAAGCAAACGGAGAACATGGTCTACATTGCCAATTCACGAACTCCGGTCTGCAAAATTTCATCATAATTGGTCCATTCGTTTTTGAGATATCCTGCCAACGGACGGACGGACGGACAGACGGGCAGACACCGCAAAATTATAAACTCGCTAGAAACTCGTTAATAATATATATAGAACACAGAGGAGTGCAATATTCTGCTTTGATGGATATTAAGCCACCCTGATTCTCCAATTTTGTAAATTTTGCAAACCACTCTTAAGTATGTATTTTGCGGATCCTCGCCCCCGTCACTGGATCAATACATGCCCCACCACACCAGACCACATCACAAAAATTTAAAAGGAACAAAATCACAGAATTAGATAAATACAATTTAATTTTAGGAGTAAGAATATTTCTATTGGTGTACAGTTTTCCTAGAGTCTCAACCAAACGCTTTGGATACACATGCACGGACATGCTGTGTAAATTTAAGATCTACACCCATGTTTAGACCTAAATTACGTGACATGTTCATTACAGGCCGCAGCACATTTCGGAAATGAATTTTTATAAAAGGTACTGCACGTTCCCTATCTAAATTACGACCGAAAATGACTACCGCAAATTTTCTGGAGTTAATGTGCAAATTGTAATTTAGAGCAAAATCAATCAAAGTGTTTATCTTCTTCACTATTTCAATGGCCGCTGTTATCCGAGTACGATCTTTAATTATTTGTTCAAAGTTGTTGTCAATGTTGAAATCGCCCAACACATAAATATTCCTACGAGTCGGTAGAATATTGCTCATCGCATCCTCAACCTCTGCGATAAAATTTAAAACATTGGAGGAGGATGAGTACACAAGCTCGTGAAATTATATAACGTTATAAACGCAACACTGCCTGTGGCTTTAAAATTAATGAGGGTGAAGATTTTGAACTATTTGAGTTTTTTCGAATGTTTTAGAAAATATTATCCGTACAAAATCAATTGGATATGCTTAAATAAGTCCTAGGCCCTACCTAATACGATACAAACAATTTTTACAGGGTGCTCAAGAATTTCGTAGTGGAAAAGACGAAAATTTCATGGAATTTTAATGGATCTTCCTCTCTTTTGTTATATAATCGTAAAGTATCATCATCTAATCTAATTCCACTTCTCTCGGCTCAAAGAGAATACGCAAGAACACCTTTAACCACATGAACCTTTCAAGAATATTCAATCAAAAACATTTGGTGGTAGGTGTTAAAATAAACATTCTTCCTAACTAAACCGTGGGCCGCACATTTTGGAAGCTACAAAAAGGCCTAAGATGAGCTTTCCGATTTTTAATGTACGAAAGTTCGAAAAAATCATTAGATCTCTCACAAAGTATACGACATAAAAATAACACTTTATTAACTGCCATAGAGTGTTCAGCTATAAAAATTGGTATTGGTATACGTTCGATTTGCGCATGGGAGCATATGTTTGAATATTCTCAAGTGATTTCGACTATAAAATGTGTATAACTTTATTATTTTTAAGTAAGAGCATAGAGAGTATACCCCACCAAACTTCATGAAATTTGGAGATTGCGGCTCCACAACGAATTTCGATTGGATTTTTTTTCGAATTTTCACAAACTCTCATGTTAAAAAACTCCCAGATGACTTATAACTTTAGAAATATCAAAAATCAAAAGCTTAGATTAAGCCGCAAAATCCATCCTTCTATCTCGTATGGTTCCTAAGAAAAAATTACAAGGAAAATGTACATTTTGAAAGTTTTTCCAAACGATCCAGATTTGGATCACCGGTGTATTAAAAAAAATGCCCTATATATCCAACGTTTCACGAAATTGAATTATATATTCGTATTTAAATGGCAAAAATTTTTAACCACTTTGCGCCCAATGGTTCTGTCAAAGATAAGGATGTCTATCATGGAGATCTCTGAAACCATATTGAAGATAGTATATACGACGATGGTTAATTAAAGAAAAGGTGCGCTACTATCTTGCTTTAAAGAAAACCAAAAAATCCCGAGGACTTCCGAAGATATGCCAGAAAAACCGAATTTTTTTTGTTATTTCAACAAATACAACAATATAAAACCACTTTCCGTTTGCCACTATTTAAGCCCTACAAGATAGCGTTGAGAGATTTTCAATACGTTTCGTTTCGGGGAAATCGTCAACCTTTTTGTATGGCACAGCAAAATTGGAAACTGTTGGTTTTCACAGAATAATGCACCCGGCCCTAATGGTGCGAGAATACCTATCGAACATATTTTTTTTTTCGGGAAATTTGTCCGATAGATATTCGTACGTACAAATTGTATCATCCAATTCGTCGCTCTACAAAGGACTACTCGACCGTCCATTCCAAGCGTGTGACGAGTTTTTAGTGCGCCTAAATAATATGTGAAGACGAAGGTCTTTCATTTTTGCATTTTAGGTGCTTATAGACGAAATTTTGTTGCCCACCGATTATTGTTCGCCAATTTCCATTTTTTTTTAAAATGTGGCAACGGTAACAAATTCGCGAATGGAGACAATTTGTTCATTTGTTCTCAAGGAGGCGAGGGCTATAAGTTATGTATTATACTGACATTTACATATACTCTTGAAAAAAGGATAAAAGAATTCGCTGAACATTAGTGCACAGAATAGCAGGACCAACTTTAAGAAGGAAATTACTATGCAGGACAGAAGGTGAATTACTTCTAATTGTGCAGCACGAAGATAATTGATTTGCTACTCCACTGGTGTATCCGTGGTTATTTAATTCAATCTATCTCAATAACAGGATGAAAGCAAGCGCCGCTTGAAAATCTTTCAGTCGTTCCAATAATGGCACGCAGCCCTAAAAAATAGGAGAGTGTCTATATATTACATCACGTAGTCCTCCTGTTGTTCCGAAAACCGTTACAAGATCGCGATTGAAAGCGACGTTGATATCTAGACTTTCCACTCTGATATATCATCCCTTAGAAACAGAATAGTTCTTGTGCTTGTCAATTCTATTTCCTGAGTCGGCTGTCTGTCATAGTGATATCATTTGAAAATCAAGCGCCACTACTTTTTACCATATAGACACGCTTCAGCTTGAAATCACACGAGGATAAGAGTTTTCGAAAGGGGAGGAGGAAGACTTTTATTTTATAACGAAAAATGTTAAACGAGGTGACAATTTCAACACGCAGGTTCACAAAATAGTTTAAATTTCCCCCTCTGTATTTGCAATATAGGTGTGCGATTGGTTGACCATAGATAACGAGAGGATGATTGCAGCACCCAACCACCAAATGGTTGAATAGGCTTTGCAAGGCTCAGTGCTCTAGTGCTCTTCCAGTAAAGTACCTACTCCTCGTGCGAGTGATCCCGAGTTTAGGTGAAGTGTTAAGGATACAAGATATCACGTGGATCTTAATCGGTAAATATTTGAGTGTTCTTGTCCTTACTAACAAATGTGAAAAAAATGCCCCTTTGGAAGAATTTTATGTTTCTCTAGTCGAGGAAAAATCGTGCCGAAAAGTGCTGGAAATTAATTTGTTAAATAGGGTACAGTGTAATCGAATCTAAGGATTTTTTTTGAAATTATGTTTTTACACGCCGTTATGCACGTTCAAATTAAAGTCCCCCTTTCGTTCTTCAATTGACTACCTCCGTACATTAATAATTTGGTGTGGAAGTATTTAAAAGTGTTGTTATTAATCCGACGCATCCGTAAAGCTTCCCGCAGTATCATGACAATATTAATTTTGCAAGCGTGATTTAGGGCGCTACATGCTACATGGACAATGCCGTTCAGACTATAGAGCGCGATTTACTTTGCCGGATACGCTCATTTAGATTACATTAGTGCCCCACATAATCCGTGCATATTATTAAAGCATTTTAAGACATCAAAAAAAAATGCTTCCGCCGGTGTATATCGATTTTAAAAAATTGTGATGCACTCTTTACAACGCGATATCATCGTTTGTAAGTGATCATCGGCGCGTAATGAACTCGACTATTAAACGTCTCAGTTCGGATATAATTAAGTGGGACCGAACTGTATTTTACACCCTAGTTGAAGCTTTAAATATTTCCTATTTGCACGAGCACCCCATATTGTACAGCAATGGATAGAAGACCATCTAATTTAGTATATGCTAAAAGACTCTGTTTCAGGTGGTTTCACTTTGATATGTGATGAGCTGACTGTCTTTTAATTTTTCAACTACCATTGTGATTCACTGTAATATGGCTGAGGGAAACGAAGGTGCTCCCGACTGTTTAGAAAACACGTTCAATTTAAATAAACATGCGGCAGAAGATATTGAAATGAGCGCGCTGAAACCTTTTCCAAATTCGGCAACGCAAGCCCAAATTGTTAGTAGAAGTACAATTCCGGAAAGAGGGACATGGGCCACAAAATTGGATTTTATACTATCAGTAGTAGGATTAGCCATCGGTCTTGGTAATGTATGGAGGTTTCCTTACCTTTGTTACAAGAATGGCGGTGGCGCCTTTTTGGTTCCTTATTTTATTACACTTTTTCTCGCCGGTATTCCAATGTTTTTCATGGAGTTGGCATTAGGGCAAATGATGACGATAGGAGGGCTCGGAGTGTTTAAAATTGCTCCGATCTTTAAAGGTGAGCGTTTTAAGGATTTTTAAATACTTAAATCTGGTTTAACAGGAATCGGATACGCAGCGGCCGTTATGTCCTGTTGGATGAATATTTACTACATTGTTATCTTAGCGTGGGCAATATTTTACTTTTTTATGTCTTTGCGATCGGGTAAGCTTCGTTATTTTTCGAACACTACCTCCTAGCCAGAAATTTTCAGATGTACCATGGAGAACGTGCGATAATGAATGGAATACAAAGTTTTGCATAAATCCGTACAATCGTAGTTCGCTTTATTGTTTTACAGATTATACAAACTCCACCAAGGTGTGTACGATAAATAATTATAACGTAACTATAAACGAGCTAACGGATCCCGTCAAGGAATTTTGGGAGTAAAATATTGCACGTAATGCAAATGCCTTTTAATTTGAAGCGCACTTTTAGGCGACGGGCTCTTATGATATCGGACGGAATCGAGCACATTGGAAATATTCGTTGGGAATTGGCCGGTACTTTGTTATTGGTTTGGATATTGTGCTATTTCTGCATTTGGAAAGGTGTCAAATGGACTGGGAAAGTTGTGTATTTCACTGCCTTATTCCCTTATGTACTTCTAACAATTTTGCTCATACGTGGCGTGACATTACCAGGAGCGATGGACGGTATAAAATTTTACGTAATGCCAGACATCTCGAAACTAAAAGAATCGGAGGTGTGGATTGACGCTGTAACCCAAATATTCTTTTCGTACGGCCTTGGGCTGGGAACACTTGTAGCACTGGGAAGCTATAATAAGTTCACTAACAACGTCTACAAGTAAGTCCTAAAAAAGGAAAGCAGAACAATAAGTTAAATTTTGCAGAGACGCCCTTATAGTCTGCACAGTAAATTCGAGTACCAGTATGTTTGCGGGTTTCGTCATCTTTTCGGTGGTTGGCTTTATGGCTCACGAACAGCAAAAACCTGTGAACGAAGTGGCCGCCTCAGGTAAATATTCTTTGGCATTACTTCAGTAATAGTTTAACGATTTCAGGTCCGGGACTCGCCTTCTTAGCGTACCCTTCGGCCGTCTTACAACTGCCTGGGTCGCCAGTTTGGGCTTGCTTATTCTTTTTTATGATTCTATTGATAGGTTTAGACTCGCAATTCTGTACCATGGAGGGTTTCATCACGGCCGTTATTGACGAGTGGCCCAAATTACTAAGGCCCAAAAAAGAACTTTTCATCGCCTTTGTGTGTGCTCTGTCATACCTGGTGGGACTGTCGTGCATCTCGCAGGTAAAATTCTTGATTGTAAATCGATCTAGACAGCTCTTATTTTTAGGGAGGAATGTACATTTTTCAAATACTAGATTCATACGCTGTAAGCGGATTTTGCTTACTATTTTTGATCTTTTTTGAATGCATTTCCATATCATGGGCATTTGGTGTGAATCGATTTTATGATGGTATTAAAGAAATGATCGGTTATTATCCCATGAAATGGTGGAAATTCTGTTGGACTGTTACGACTCCACTTATCTGTGTTGTAAGTAAATGGTTGCTTTTGGTACGGAAAAAACTGAGACATGTTTTCAGGGTGTGTTTATCTTCAATTTGGTTCAGTGGACTCCTGTTAAGTATCTTAACTACGAATTTCCTTTATGGGCACACCTCTTTGGATGGTTCACAGCTCTCAGCTCAATGTTATGCATTCCAGGATACATGGTATATAAGTGGTATACAACGCCAGGAGATCGAGAAACTGTATGTTTCACCCCATTACTTTTTACTATAATAAAATTGTACTTCTTTTCCAGAAAATTCGTCTACTCATACGCATAGAAGATAGTGTTCCCTCACTTAGAGCAAAAATGCAAGCTCATTCACATCACGCAACATCCGACGTATAACAGATTCTTAATGTGTAAATTGTAAGTTTTGAGAAAACTAATAAACGTCTTAGTTTTCCCAACGTGCACAAATACAATTCTCGCGTCTTCCATTAAAGTTTTCGTGTTCATTTTAGTTATTGCTTTGTAAGTAAGCGTGTAGGAAGTTTAAATAAGTAATTTATTAAACGAACTAGTTTAAAATAACGTTAGATAAGAAAAATAATGCGATGCTCAACATTTGGTTTACGTTTCATTGAGATTCGATCATCAAATCACGATCTACATAATATAAGGCACTAAAGGGCACGTTCTAGGTACAATTAAAGTGGACATTTCCCTTCGACCTAACATATATTTGTTATAATCTTAATTATTTATCGATAGCGCTGTTTTAATATTTGTAAATCAATTTTTTATTTGATGCTACACATTAGAACTTTAAAGTAAGCCATACAGTATTGTTAATGTTTTCTTTGTCTGACTAGAGGAGTGTAGAATAATTAGTATACGAAAAACAATGTAATCGACAAACTTGAAAAATTTAATGTACATTGATGTAATAATATAATGTATCGCTTCTTGGTAGTTTTAAGGTTTAAAATATTACTGTACCTACCGAAAATTATAGACAATATTAATTAAAGTAAAATTAAATCTTTCTTTACAATTTTTTCATAAATTGATAAAACTTTCCTTTGATAAATAAAATCTATTAATTTACACGTTTTTGGGAAATCACGTGACTGGAAAGAAAACCGGGCTAAGGTGGATTATATTTTATTTTTATAAATTGTAAGATGAACCTGCTGAAACGTCTTGTACCGCACTAAACTCCATACATTGTTCAGTTTCAGGTGGGGTGCATTAATCATATAAACGTTAGTTGTGTTTGACCATGCCAGGATGGGTAAAGAAATCTGCATTTTGTCAAAGGCAAAACAAAGACAGAGTCATTAAATCGATTTCTGGGAAAGGAAGTTCCACCCTTCCAAAATGCAGATGGGCAAGAGGTTAGCGAAAGTTCCAACTTAGTAGCGAAGCTAAAAAAAGCACAATTAGAGGAAATAGGTTTTCTTAATCTTTGCCTGTATTTACTTTTCTTTTAACCAATATTCCTAGTATAATTGTATTTACTTGATTTGCTTACGACTGATTCCTCACGGTCTGATATTTTTGATCTCCGTACCCTTTTCCTTGTGGAAGGTCTCTTCATATACGAAAAAACGAAGTGGTCGCAGTTATTCACAAATATCTGTACCTACGCTAGATCTTAAACGATCCACCGGATAAATCAGCCTGCAAACAATACAAAATGGCAGTGATTTGATGACAGCAAAGTTTGGATCATGGCAGCGTTTGTCGAGTCTATCATGTCACCCATCGCCTAACCCTTAGGGAGTACCGCATATCCTCTCAAAAGCAAGCTCCCTTCGAGCCTGTTCCAATGTCCGCGATGGTGGCAGATACACTGCTCTCGAACAGCAAACTATGGAGGCGATTTTGAATATACTCTTTCCTGATGACGACCATACAGAAGACGAACCCTTCCACGCCGAAATGCGTTTCCGACCATTCAACTTGGAATCCAGACAAGATTGGGTGGTCACTAGACAATATATCCTTGCACAAGTGCCAAACACAGCTCCTGGATTGGACGAAATTCACGGAAACGTACCCTTTCTGACATTCTCGTCGAACTATTCAATACCTGTATAAAACTCGCCTGTCCTGTCAGTTGGAAAACTGGCAAACATAACTATTCTAAAACCCGGTAAGAAGGATTTCAGCAATTCCAACTCGTACAAACCGATAACTTTATTGCCCGACATTGGAAAGCTATTCGAGAGAACTGTACGACGAAATCCCACTCGAAGAACTTTTCCATTCCAACTAATATGGCTTTATCCCCGGACGGAGGTTTGACCGACTGCGTGCAAAGACTAGTAAACCACGTCAGGACGAAAGCTCACATGTATTTGTTGGCGATTTTCGGTGCATTCAGCAACTGCTGACGTTACTCGCAGTCATTCGTAGCTATCTTATGGATCGCTCAACCCGTTTTACTTCGAGAGCCTCGAAGATGTCCCTCTCTAAGTGTATGAGTAAAGGTTGCCCCCAAGATTCGGTCTTGGGTCATCACCGTGTCCGCCAGCAACAGGCGCGTCCTGGACGTAACAACTTCCCTATACCTCGAACGACTGACGGACTGGGCGGGCAGCAAAAATTGTCCGTCTCAATAGACAAGATGAAGTACATGGTTTTTGACTCCAAACTACAAAGAAATCCGACAGTTCGCCTATTAACCAGTCAGTTCGCAGAGTTTTCGAATTTAAGTACCTGGGACTGTTATTAGACCACAAACCCTCCTTCGTCAAGCATTGCTCTTTAGTCTGTAGTAAAAAAAAAAGGTAAAATCCTGCTTCATCTATTTTACAAATACACTCGCCTAAAATGGAATCTCCCAAAGAATTCACTAGAGTGGATTTTCAATCGTGCAGTTCTTCCCACGCTTACATATGGCTTGAACATTTAGTTTGACAGACCCAGACGGTCTCAGCTCACGTGGTCAGGAAACGGGCCTCGTTTCAGATCTACCCGGGAGCTTACAGAACGGTACTCAACGATTTTCTACGCGTTATTGCTTAAGCATCCTCCTCTTCGTCTCCTTCTGCAGGAAATTTACTGCAGCAGTTCCTACGCAGGACCGGCATCTGTACACTGTTTAACGACCGCATTTCTACCAATGACTTCCCTTCCCTTTTCGGCCGCCACGCGTCACATATGGACTTTGGTCCTGGGCCCTAACATCCAAAAATGGTTACACCAAAGTCATGTCCTCTCCTCGCGGAGAGGATTTAATAATAATAATAATAATAGCCTTTATTCCCCATAGGTCTCATATCAAAATTTCACATATCAAAATATAAAAAACGATTATAGTTATTCATAACAATAAAGAAAAACTTCTAAATTAATGATCAAATGGCAAGATAAGAACTAGAAAAGGAAAAGAAGAAGAAGAAATTTAGTAGTACGTATTTATGAGGAATCACACGGTGCCAATTCAAATTAGTAGTTAAACCTACCATTGGTCTTCCATTGGAGCCGTGAAAAAAGATAAGAATAGCAAGGTGAAAATATGCCTATTCTAACTTAAACTAAAATTCTGAGATGTTAGGTCGGCGTCGGAACTAATTTGCAAACAATTATTTGTAATTTATCTTTATGTGACTGATGAATTGATGATGTTATTATGCGTCATTTTGAAGATGTAATAAAGAACGGAACAGTTTTTTTTTGAAGAGAGGAAGAGATGAAGCTTTGAGTTCAGCTGATAAGTTATTATATAGACTTTATAAATTTGGTACTGAAAGGTGCGTTCGTATAGGGCAGTGGAATGCTTTGGTGGAGAAATTAAACCGCGGTATCTTAAATTTATATTATGAACATCTGTTCTGAAGCGGATTTTATTAAAGAGATAAGCTGGTGTCTTTGTGGTCAGTACTTTGTGGCAGAGTGTTGCAAACTGAAGTCTTCTTCTATTGCTCATATTCAGCCAGTTCAAATCACGCAGTTTATGCGAAATGCGTTCGAATTTAAGTATACCATAAATCATTCGCATGCAACTGTTCTGTACTCGCTGAATGCGTCGTACCGTACCGTATCTTGCTTTATAGACGACCAATATAGCTCGGAGCAGTAATTGAAATGCGATAATACAAGAGAGTTACACAACAAAGCTTTTGTTTTTATTGGTAAAGATTTCCTATGTGGATATATTAACTTTAAATTGATTAAACTTTTCTTGAGGTACATATTGATTTGAGTATCGTATCTAAACGAATTGTCCATGTGCAAACCTAAGTTTTTCACTTCGGTTTTAATCGGTATGTGTCGTTCAAAAAAAATTTGCATGCTGGTTGATGGCTCGGATATTATCAGTATTTCCAAAAAATATTATTGAAGACTTCGCCGGATTTATGAACAGTGAATGCATACGTGAGACAGCTTCGATTGAACGTAGATCATCATTTATATTACGAACAGCAGCTATGGACTCATCCACGCGAAATGAATGTAGGATTTGGGTATCATCGGCGAACATTTTCATTTTGCAATGCGAAATGTATTCACTAAACCGGGATGTGTAAAGAATAAACATAAGAGGGCCTAAAATAGACCCTTGGGGAACACCCCTAAGAGTTGGTAAGAAACGAGATCGGCGTGACATAATTTTAACGCATTGGCTCCGTCCACTTAAAAGCTACTAAACAAATTAACCGCAGCTGTTGATAATCCAACACTTCCAAGGATACTGAGAAGAACGTCATGGTTGAGTGTATCGAAAGCTTTACTGAAATCTAAAAGCCCTAGGACAGATACCATCTTCGAATCGGTGGCGGAGATAATTTCATCCGTGATGTCTATCAAAGATGTAGTACAACTATGATGCGGTCTAAAACCAGACTGATGGTGGGGAATAATATTTTTACTGAACACATATGACCTCAGCTGCGAATTAATTACCGTTTCCACTATTTTAGACATTGTAGGAAGTATGCTTATAGGCCGTAAATCTTTGAATTCCTTAGGGCACTTGATTTTTGGTAATGGTGTTATCACGGCTTGTTTCCATGATAGCGGATATTTACCAGACAGCAGGACTTCGTTTATGATATGGGTGAGGTAAGGTAGAATTGTGGGACAAAATAGTTTGATAATATTGATATTAATATCGTCGTGTCCGGTAGCTGTAGATTTAATTCCCGATATAATTTTGGCGACATCAGCTGTGAGGACTGGTGAGAAATTGAATTGATCCTCATTGGAAAACGGATTATTCTGTTTGTAGAAGTTGACTAAATGGGCTACATCGCGATCATTTGAGTTCGGTATTGAGCTTAATAGAAAGGTATTTATAGCTTCAGGGTCACTTAGATGGACAGGCAATTCAGAGTGCAGATTATTAGATGATAGAAGCTCTTTCAAATCTTTCCAAAGCTGCTTACTATTATTAGCATTGATCTTTTGTTCAAAGAAAGCTGTTTTTTCATGTTTCAGCATAAAGTTTACCTGATTTCGCAGATTTTTGTAATAAGACCAATCGCTTTGCGACCTTGTATGCTTAAATTTCTTTAATGCTTCATTTCTGAGTTGCATACAATTTTTGACAGTGGGTGTTACCCACGGCGCATTTCGTTTAGTTACCTTTATGTTTCGAATGAGCGTATGTTTGTTAATTAAGTGTAATATATTATGGCAGAGAAAATCAACCTTATCATCAACATTGCTAAGATAAAATACGTTCTGCCATGGAACTCTATGCACATCGTCATTAAACTTCACTGCATCCATGTAAGTGAAATCCCGGAAAGATTTGAATATGGCTGGATTATTGATAGTAGCAATATCTAGATCGCAGAAGATTGTTTCGTGATCTGAAGTGATACCGTTATAGTGAATACCTGATGAGCTTACCCTTTCTGAATCGTTGACCAGAATTAAGTCGATTAACGTTGACGATTTGTTAGTGAGCCGTGTGGGTTCGCATATTAATTGCTTAAAGTTAATAGCATCTAACATTGTGCTAATATATTCTGTTGCAGGTAAATGATTACAACTCATATCAATGTTCAGATCACCTAAACAAACAACGAGATCGCCGCTACTGTGCATCAGCGTTAGTGAAGACTCCAATTCGTCCAAAAATAATTTGTAATTTACTGTTGGTGACCTGTAAGCACAACCACAAGCAACACTAAACTTACCAACTTTAATCGATAACCATAACTGCTCAATTTGACTATTGCTCTTAACGACATTACATTTAAATGATTGTTTAACATAGATGCAAACTCCTCCTGCTCTACCATCCCTATCCTTTCGGTATACGTTATAGCCATTAACCTCAATGGCTTCATCTGTTATTCCTGGATGACACCACGTTTCACCAATTGCAAGTACATCATAATTGTTCGCATCTAAAAAACTTCTAAGATCATAGAGAGAGGGTACCAAAGATCTGATATTAATGTGTCCTAGACGCATACTATAAGAAAACTACTTAAATTTAATATTACGATAACAATCCATGATTGAACAAATTTACATATTATTTATTTCAATGTTTACAAATTTGCGTGTCTTTGGAAGCGTATCGCCGTTTGGGAACATGATCATTTTCCGGCGTCCGTTGTCCGTGCTCCTTTGTTGGCGAGTATCGCTCTCTGATTCCTGTCAGACCATCCTTCATCCATCACGGTCCTATGTGTGTTTGTGTCTTAAGTGTTATTATTTGCGCCGAGGCAGAAACCAGGGTTAACCGTATCGTTTACGTGAAAAAAATTTTAAGTTTATTTTTCTTTGCTTTATTTATTTTGCCTCCACCGTAGTAGCGAAGTAATTTATGTTTAGTTTAGTACCTAACAAGTTTATTTTATTTGTTTTCAATTATTTGAGATACTTTTTTGTTTTTTTTTTAATTTATAACAATTTTATTTAAGTCACTTTTGAAAGGGGTAGAAAGATGCAAGGGTAGAATCAAACGTAAGGAATGCCGGTAAACAAAATTAAATAGTTTTCACTATAGTCTTTAGTCAAAATAAATTACATTGTAAACTGAACTCAAATTTGTAGCGGAAGTTCTTTTAGGAGAAAAAAAAGATGTTTCTTAATGTGCTCTTAAAATATAGCTTGCTCTCCAAGATCTTTATGCTGGATTAAAATTTTAAGAACCAACGCAGGGTTGTCATAACGATACCTAAGTCGAAAAAAATGAGCTGCCGCTGTTTTCTGTATAAAAAATCGAAATGCTTTCACCAAGTTATTGATTCCATTTGGTATATGACCAATGAAGAACATAACCAGATGGTCAACATACAAACACTCATTGAAGCGGACTTTGTATGACACGAAATTATCGACCAAAATAAGGGATAGCTCATGAGAGAACCCTATATCTCAGATAAAGTTTCATCAATCTTAGTCCGTAATGAGATAAAAAACCAATAAAAAATAATTAAACCCCGAAATCACGGAGTACTTCATATCAAAAGCTTCCTGAACAACAAAAAATTTAACCCATGTGCCTCTTATGTCAAATTACACTTTTTTTAGTGTATTGCCTAAGTAATGTCTTTCATGTATATCATCTTACATAAAAAATCTTCTTATGAATGAAGAATTCCCCTTGGCACAAGTATAACACACAGTCAACTAACATGTTCCATTCATACTTCAATTCGTTGTGTTCCTTTTCTTTTAAATTCATTGTTTATTACTTAGTCTAGTCTAGTGCAAAATTATGTCGCTTTAAATAGATAAGACATGAATCAATTTTCTAATAAAATTCGTAATTTTAAAACCAAAAGGAACTTTGACTTTAAATACCAATTGAAGGGTTGCATATGGATCATTTATACACAATCGAATAACGGAATACAAATATTTGGTGTACTACAAAAATTACAACCCCCGCAATCGAGGATTACTACACGTATAAGAGTCCGAATTCTAATAAAATTCGTAATTATAAAACCAAAAGGAACTTTGACTTTAAAGAGCAATTGAAGGGTTGCTTATGG